CACTCCTAAAGTATACAAAAAGCGTTGACGAATATTTCAGAACACATTAAACGGAATCTCCATCTGTCATTACACAGGACCAGTGGGTCTATGTAAGGCGTGACCGCCGGCCAGTATAACATAACCTAACTTAGTTTAAACCATTTATAGGATAGTTATCTCATTGATTTGAGCAGTGAATTCACCAAAAACATTACCCTAATTGCTCACGACGCATATATAGATTACCAAATGCTGAAAGCTGCGCCATTGAAAGGGACAAACTCCATTGAAAGGGACAAGCTCGCACACAAGGGTGTCAGTAAAAACTAGAAACTTTAACAGAAATCTCCGATAGCGCTGTTGTGTAATTAACTTATGTTTTAACCGATAGTTGGCATGCAGGGTAGCTATTGTCAACTAACTATTTCAACTATTGCCAATAAGGTTGGACACATTTTTATGTGGATATTCCTTATCAACAAAATCATTAGAGAAAAGGCATCGGGTAGGTATGTTCGAGTTGATGAAGTGCATGTTTAAGCTCTTCAGCAGTTTAGAAATTCATGAGTATTACAAAGGCTTACGAGAAGAATAGAAAAAGTAGAAAACTATTCCTTTCGACAAGTGGAATTTTGTTAATAAGATTTTAATATTGCATAAGGACAAGATTTCAATAGATTTTGCAGGATATCCATTTAGTATTTTGAGGGTACTAAATTTAGTAATTAAATATAGTTTTTGTTGTCGGAGGCGGTATCTTCAAAAGATATACTCGCTATAGATGCACCTCAGTCGGAATAATTCTTCGCCCGTTTTTTATAGTACGGGACTTGTGAAACAGGGCGCCTACGTACTAAACCCTTAACTACGTCGCTTAAAGCATATATATTTTCCATGCAGGACCGCCGCTACAAGCTGTAGTTGATTGGCTGTACACCCATGTCTTTTTGGTCTAGTTTAACATTATTTCTTTGCTCTAATAAGGTTGTTGTGCCCTTGTCTCACTCGCATCTATAAGTTCTCCTAGCACCGCTCTTTCATTATTTTAACGCTCGAGAACAGTATATTCCATACATTTTCTCACCCATTGCCATACAGCAATCCGACCCTCTCTGAAGCAACCATGCTCAATCAGGAATTGGGTTAAGTAATAATCGGTTTTACCATGCTTCCTCTTACTCCCTTTTCACATTTCTAATGTGTCCATCTAGTTTTCCTCACCTCATCCCAACGCTTCTGCTATTCGTTAAGACTAGTTTGTCTTTCCTCCTTCTGCTCTTCCATCGTGAGGCGTGCCCGTGCACATAGTTTTAAATCACATGGCCATTACTTCTAATGGCATGATACCCGCTATAGCCCCACCGCGTTATGTGATACAGTCCGGAAAGCACAGACGACACTGATTGCACTAAGCTGAACACTTGACTTCATAATTTCTGCTTACGTTATTTACGTCTTATACTGTAGGGCTGTTCCAGTTATAGGAGCCGCGTACATAAACACAGACTGGGTAACTTTCGACAGGAGTGACCCTTGCCGCTTTCTCACAGGTTTTATTGATGTAAGTCTTGTAGTGGAGCCTCGCATCTATTGTTAGCCCCTGAAATTTTAGGGACAACTGCGTAGATATTGTAACGGATTTTTCGATAAATCGCCTACCTGTAACTCACTCTTGAGTTCGATCACTGGATTCTTAAATTAAAGTCCCAATTTAATGGCTATACACTTATCTTTATTCCAACAACTTAACACTTATTGCTCGATATTCGAGTTTACAACTTATTGCTTATAGCTTAATTGCTTTTTACACGGCAACACTCTAATTAGAACTGTGTCTGTTGCACAATCCGGCAGCCCTTATATAGTAAATATTTACCAAAAGTTCGCTACTAGAACATTCTGGCAACTACGAATGCGCTATCTAGTTGCTTCTGGCAGTTTATCGTCGATTCTGATTTGTTCTGTTATTCGTGTTCGCCACACTGCCCTCTACCTAAATCTGATCGTCCCGATTAGACATATTTGCAGTACCAAACGCTGCAAGCCGTTCCAGATGAACCACCTTCATTTTATTCCTTGGTCTTCCAATGGTCTGTATGCGATACACTACATCATTGAGTCGTTTAATAACCTGATATGGTCCTTCCTCTGGTCTGGTTATATAACAATACTCAATCGCCTTCAATAAAACCCTCAGAGTTTATTGCCTTGTCGCATTTTGCTTTCATCTTATCGCTCATAATTTTGGTGCGCTGTCTCACCATAGCATGTATATCCCTCATCTCGTCTTATAGGATGCTATTGAACTCCTTAGTTGGCGTTCCTGCCTCTTGGTTAGGAATTGCGTATACCTCTGGCCATTTGCTGAAATAGTCCATGACTACCAAAACATATCTGTCCTAATTTACTGATAGGAAATGAACCAGCTACATCCATGGCTACTCGCTCAAACGGCGCACCTGAATTGTACTGCTTCATCTGATCATGTCTCCTGGACCGCGGCCCTTTGGCAGCAATGCACTCGACACAATTGGCGATCTACTCCGTAACTGATTGACGACAACCAACCCAATAAAATCTTTGTTTTAATTTCTCATAGGTTTTAGTGATACCCATGCGTCCCCGTTGTGCAGCTCGTTGAGAACTTCAGGAATTCTTACTTTTGGAATAATCATCAGAGCTCGTGAACTTTGCCCATCTTCGCTTTTCCATACGCGATGCAAGCAGCCAGACAGTAACTTCAAACTATTCCATTGTGCCCAATAAGCCTTTGCGACTGGGCTTTCTGTTGCTATTTCTTCTCTCGTTGGACGTTTATTCATCTCCAATCCGTGTATTACAGTTTTCAAATCTGGATTCTCTTGTTGACATTTCCGTAGCTTTTCCGGATCCCAGTCTGATGTTATAGTCAATAATCGGACATCTATAATGTCTTCTTTGGCCTCAGCTTTTTGTTTAGGTCCAATTGGATTAATGGGCTGGTTACAATTGCGTGCAATATGGCCACTATTTCCGCAGTTGAAGCATTTAAGCACACCATCATTTTTCTTAAGCGCTTCCGTAGATTTTTCCAGTGCTTTCTGCATGTTGTCAATTTTTTCAAGTAACTGGTTCACGCAAGTGTGTTCCTCTATTTCTACTTTGTGAGCTTTAAATGAAACGGTTTCTGCAAACGTCAATTTTGGACATGCTAATGCAGCGAAGGGTGTAGTGTTATCTCGTATTGACGAAGGTCTGAATTTTCGTGTCCTCGATGTATTTCACGGATTTATGTGCATAAGCTTAGTGAGCTAACCTCTCAATTTCTGTAGAAAACTCCTGCAGAGACTCGTTGGCTTACTGGCGGCGATTTCGCAACTCGATTTGACAGATCTGCTTCCTGTGCTCACTACCTTACCATACCGTCTTTCTAATACACCCATCAACGTTTCATAACTACTTGCCTCGCAGTTTGGAATGGTCTGTAATATCTCCGCTGCAGATCTTTTTAATGCAACGAACAATACAGCTACTTTATCTTCAGCGTTCCAATTATTTGAAGATCTGGCTTTTCGAATTGAAGCTTAAAAACGTGGAACGGAACAGTTGCATCAACGGATGGAGGTTTTACTTTGGCAGAAGCTGTTGATACAATTGGCCGATTTAATTGTAGCTCGCGGAGACGATCTTTCAATTCATCCATTGCAGTTTTTGTTTTATCCTACTCTTCCGAAATCTGTAAGGACGCTTCTGCTATTTGTGAGGTCACCTGTGCGGATATACGTGCATCTTGCGCTGCGAACTGCTCTTCCAACTGTGAGGACACCTGTGCTAATATACGTGCATCTTGCGCTGCGAATTGCTCTTCCAAACGCGTTTCTAACGAGGACAATTTGGATTGTTGTGTCAATAATTGTGATAACACCTCTGCTATTTGTTGGGTTATACGTGCATCCTGCTCTTTAAATTGTGTCGATATTTGCGTTGAAATTTGAGACATATGTGTATTCTGCTCTTTCCCCATCAGCGATATTGCAGCAAAAATCATGTTTATGTTTACCATCTTTGACGAGCATTGAGCCTCTTCTTGTTGTCTCTCCCTCTAATTCCATGTTAAAGACATATTCCTCAACAATAATGTTTTCCGCCTCCATGGCCTCTCTTAACCGTGATTGTAATTCAGTTTTTAATCCATTTGTCGCCAAACCACGGTGCTCCAGCTCCTTTTTCAATTGTGGAATCTTCAGATCGTTAAACTGGGCCATTTTCAAATAATTATCTCCTTTTGAATTTATTTGACAATCCCACTTCTGACACTAATTGTAACGGATTTCTCGATAAATCGTCTACCTGTAACTCACCCTTGAGTGAAATTTCTTGGAAAACAAGTTGCTACTGTGGTTAGTAAAGCATTTGTACCGTTTTCTAAACTCATTGCTATTTCATAACTAACCGCCGTCGACGTTGGGTTATTTTCTCCTACTCTTATTGTGTGATTGGATTGATGTCAGTTGCATCTTCTGCTGCAACTTGTATCCAAGCGAAAAAAAATTTCATTGTTCCGATTTTGCGGAAACGCGAGTAAAAGAAAACATAACTTTATTTCTTGAATCCGTGAAAATTGCTAACTTTGTTCTTCTTGTTTGTGAGCTTACTGAGTACAGCTAGTTTAATATATTTCTCATAATAAAGTAAAAATTAATTAACATAAAATAATTTAAAAAATAATAAATAATAGTTTAATAAAAGGGAATATTCAAATGGCATATCAATATTCCCAGTTTGGCATACATATTATATTCTCTTCAATATTCACTTTTGGGAATGTAAAGAGAGCTATACGTGTACAGAATCACCGCTGTTATAAAAGCGAGAAATGCTATTTGTTCCTACTGCGTGTGAGGTGAACTCCCCGATAAAATTTCACAAATGTTCGCTGTCGAACCTGCACCTTCTCATTCTTCTAAGTTATCTGAGTTAGCAATCCGTGCTAAATGTGACTTTAGTAGTAGAATATAAGTAGGCAACCCGTACAAAGTGTGACTTTAGTAGTAGAATTTTTGAGACAACCCGTACCAAGTGGACCATTTTTGCGTGTGTATTAGTGAAAATCTTAGGATTGGTTACTTGTAGATTAATACAATGATCTAAGTGTTAGTATCTGTATGTTTATATGTACATAAATACAGATAAAACAAATAGCAAAATGAGATAGATCATTATTGTGAAAACAACAAGTTGATCATTCTTAGGAATTCAAAGAATGCTTGCATTGCACTTATAAGCATCTGAATTTAATTTATTATTTACAGCAAACTCTCTTGCTGTAACTCGCGCTTTACGCTGGCCGAAGGTATTTTCGATCACTCGACGATAATTGGGCAGTCGATAGTTAAAAAGTTTTTCAACACCCGATTGGTTAGCCACATAAGGATACGGTTTCATCAGGTCGTGTGATAAGTAAAAACTGAGTTGCCAATAACAAACACAGATACATTTTTGCCTTCAATTACTTTACTATTTTGTACACAAATACCAGCATGTTCATGGAAATGTTTAAACGAACTCTTTGCAATTATTATATATAGGAGTCATTATTTATTCCTGTGGATCCAATATTTATATACGTAAACTTTGATCTACAAGTAATAAAAAATGTAAGCACATGTGTATGTGAATCAATGTAGTCTTGAATTTACTTGTGATCACAGCTTGCTAATTAAATTATCAAACACCATCTTTTATAGTTGTAGTAATCTATTGTATCCTTCTTTGTGGACAGAACTGATGTGGCAACCAACTACACAACCAAAGCATTGTGAGAACCCATCAACGATTTTTTTTAATTGTTGCGGATATGGAGGATATGTATTAATGCAATCTGCAAGACCAGGGATAATAGGATGCCCAACTCTTTCCAGTGTGAGAGCGCCTCAAAATTAGCGTTCTTTATAACATTTTCCATTGTAGCCAGATCGGAATTTAAATTAAAATACCCATCATTTATTAAGATTAAATATTATTATACATGCATCCGTTAAACATATGCAGAAACTTTTTATACTCCCTTTTTGTGATTTTGTGATATATTAAACAATTGATTTTTGAACTTTCAATACGTAATCAAAAGAACAAATGTATTAGCTCTCAATTAATAAATGTTTTTAAAAATTTTCAATTAAAAATCAATACCACTTAGCATGACATCACAAAAGATATCATCACATACATTTCAATTTCGCGTTTTCTTTCATTTTCATTGTTTTCTAATTTTTGTTAGTGATCTTCAACAGCAGCACAAATCTCTCTGTTTACATATTTTTCTGTAGGATTTTAATCTGGCCGTCCCTCTTTTTCCAATTGCTAAACGTCAGACCTACTGAACTTTGACAGTTGCTTGAGTTTAGTAGGTTTTGACGTTTATCAATTGCGCTCTCATTTCCGGTGAGAGACGAGTTGGGCATCTCCTTATCTCTGTGCAAGACTATTGCATACTGCATGGCAAAAATCATTGACAATTTCGCCAACTATGCTGCGGCCAACGCCAAACAAACTAGCAACGGTCCTGGTATAGCTACTCTCTTTTCAAGTGGGATACAGCGTCTCATGTTGCTAACCATTTTGTCAATAAAGTTTACTTTGTGAAACAGATTTTTGAAGGCCCTTCTATCAAGAGAAAAGTTTTCTTTAAACCTTGCGTAATACATTGCATAGAGATCGTGCTCCTAAATTATACTAAATCAATCCTTAAAATACACGATTTATGATTTGAATTCAAAATTAAAATACCTATTTACTTACCAATTTCCAAATCTTTCGTACGTGTGGCTGAGCAATTGCAATCCCGGCTTGTATGGTTGCGTTACAATCAAATATGGCTTTTGCTTGAGTTTTATTACCTTTAGATGCGTTAGGTTAGCTTAGGTAGAAGGTCGATCCTAAGAAGGATCACACTTGGACAGCTTAAACGCCGGTCCATTGTGGTACCTAAAACTCCTATGAGCTGGATCAATAGACCCTTACATGTCGACGAAGCGCTTTGTGTCTATGACAAACTTTCTGAAACGTCCGAGATATTTCAGTCTCAGTCCAGCAAACCCAGGGCTAGTATTGCCGCTCTGCTGTTGAAGTGAATACTCACCTCTCACCGCGCCTCTTCTCCAGCGGCTTCTTCCCATCCACATCTTCCTCGTCGGGATATGAGCAGAGAAAAAGCCGCCTCAAGTGGCCGCTGTGACGCAGTGATTCAAATTTTCAGGAATGGAGCCTAAGGAGGATAGAATTGTGGCGTGCCCTTATTCGGACCTCTTCATAAGCTCAGCTTCCTTGAGCCTTATTGCATACTTCAGAGCTATCGTTGGTGTGGTTTACAGTGCACCCGATGAGCGCCGCTGTTTGGACCCGCTCAAGCGGAGTCTTAGCCAGAGTAGTCCTTTCGAGCGCCCTCCACCAGACGAACACACCATAGAACAATATTGGTTTGACTACGGTTTCGTAGAGCCAGAAAACGACCTTTTGTGAGAGTCCCCACCTTTTACCTATATCTCCCCTGCAGCAATATAAGGCGACCGATGCCTCGATGTTTGGTCTCCAAGAAAGCTTTCTATCGAGGATAAGCCCTAGGTATTTCACCTTATCAACAGGTTGAACGCGTTTATTAATATACGAATTTTTTCATTAAATTTATATTGGTTTTCTAAAAATAACAAAATTGTAATTTTCTTTTATCCATCATGATTTTACTTTTTTTATTTAATAAATAGATTCCTCAAACAGCCATCTAAGTGCACAAGGCTGCCGTCTGTCACCATAAAATTTCAATTCCCATTCGTATTTCTTAAGGCGCATTAATTTTGCTCGTCTTCCACTGCTATTAGCTTATTTTGTATGTAATACTGTATGCTTTTCGCACAAGAGTTAATTGGTAAGTTAACCGGCCTTTGATCGATTAAAGCGCTAATTAAAGCCGATTTACCATACAAAATAAAAATCTTATTTTACTACAATAATTCCTAATCGATTTGAAATCGAGTTGAAACTGGAATGAAATTCTGCGGGTTGCTATAAAATTTGGCTGTTTTCATTAGTTAAATAGTAATCAACTGATGAAGAAGTGGCCGTTCTCGATTTGTGGGCAGAGCACTTTGTCGATCTCCGTGCTGCCCGGGAAAAATGGCCACATTTATGGCGAAATGCCAAGTGAGTTCTACAAAGTAGGACATAACTGCGGTATTTATGAAAAGGAGAAAACGGCAATGGGTCCGTCTGGTGGGTCACCCTCGACATGGCTCTATAGTGAAAAAGTCCACCAGATAATTTTTGGCTTTAAGTCGAATATGTTTAGCCAGCTGACGCTCGTAAGTACTGACAGTAGGTGTTTATTTTTAAATGAGACAACTGATGTACAAAACTTTATAATGACAAATTTTATTTTTTTAAACAGAATGCAATAATACAAGTACATCGCCGCTGAATTTCCCACTACCCTCTCCAATAACTGCGACGCTGCCATTACTACTGCCATCGTCACTGCAATCGCCACTGCCATCGCTAAATACCTTAGCTGCTGCAAGCGATCCTAACAGAAAAAAAGAGAGTCAGATTGTAATATAAGGGCGTTGGAAAAAATTGAAGATACGGAAAAACAATGTATGAGGATAGAGCAGGAGAAGGCGGACGCGCTTAAAGAAATCGCCATTGACAACAAAGAGTTAAAAAATGGTATACTAAATTTAAATAGACAAAAATAAATTTTATAAGTATAGATAGTATAAGTTAATGTATGAAATAAAGTGAGATAAGAAATAAAAATTTATTTCTTTAAATACAATTCAAATGCGTAGAAATGAATTAGTGAAGTGTTAGTGGATATAAAGAAAGCCTTCTTGTACTGACAGGAAGTGTGATCACAACAAGAAATATATATATATATATACAGACAGCCAGGCGGCTTTGAAATCTCTGATGTCTCATAGGATTTCGTTGAAGACAGTGAAAGAATGGCACGATCTTTTAGCGGATCTGACATCCTATTTCACGGTAAACCTGCATTGGGTCCCAAGAAACAGTGACATCCCCGGGAACTGTGTAGCAGATGAACCTGCCAGAACAGGCATTACCCTATAACGAGATCCTGGTAAAGAGGACATATATATGCCTCTGGCTATTTGTAGATACTTAATCGACAAACATGTCATTAACATAGCCGAGTGTCAGTGGAATCAGTCCCTGACTTGCTCAACTAGCAGGCAAACGTGGAATGAATGGAATATGGGCCGCACATGCCGACTGTTAAAATTCAAGCGTAATGATACTCTAGTAGGAGTACTAACAGGGTCTAATAAGCAGACATGCAAGTAGACTTGGCACGCCATATAACGACTATTGTAGAAGCTGTCTAGAAGTAGAAAAGGAGGAGGCAATTAAACATCTTCTATGCAATTGCGCAGCACTACATAGGAAAAGAATCGCAGCCATCGCCCGTGGGTTTCTTGACGACGTTTCGGAGGTTGCACGGATAAAACTTGTGTCACTGATGAAGTTCTTTAGAAGTACGGGGTGGTTCAGAGAGGAGCCAATAGAGTGACAGCCACTTTCCTACCTAAGAAGTAGATATAAAAGTAAAAAAATTAAGTGAAAAATTCATCAAAATTAAATAAACACGCAATCTAATTAGTTTAATATATAATCAAAAACCATAAGGCAGCGGCAACTAAATGTATATGTTTTCTTAATCTCTTCTCTATCCGTACATACCCATTTTAACCCCAAATTCAGGGGATAATATTCCCAGCCGAAAGGATTACAAAGGCCTTGCCTTATTCGTTCAGCTGAGGGTTCGTTGTCTGTGGCATTCTCACGTGTCATTCTTTTCGTTTAAAAAATTGTGTATAACACAGCATGCTCTAATCTAATAATAACTGATGTTTCCCACCTACCAACTAACCTTTTCCGATACTACGGATACGTGCTTTGAGGTGGCCAAAGGCATTTTGCACAACTCTACGGCATTTTGATAGATTGTAATTAAATAGTTTTTGAGATTCGGTGAAAGCCATTGAAAATGCGTATGGCTTCATTAGAGAGGTAGAAAACCGAAAAGCTAAATCTTCTGTTATACATATTGGTACTTGCGTGCCATCCATTTCCTTTATGTTGTTCGTCAGCAGTTCATTGTGCTCCATAATTTGCTTCAATCGTGATGCATTTTATCTGAATCATTGCATCGACCAGGTGCACCAACGTTTATATATACGAAACGGTATCTGGATTTATACATAACTAGTAGACTTCTGCTCTGTTCCGCCTTAGAGAAAATAAATAAGAAGATTTTGGATTTTATTAAGTTAAATTTTTTCTTATGAAATACAAACAAAAACAAGTAAGAAAGTTCTAAGTTCGGGTGTAACATTTTATACTCTCGCAACTTGCAAGGATCAAAGCCCGGGAAATTACTTCAGCTGTTGGCAAAATTTTATATTAAAGGAAGTATTAATCCGATTTATTATTTTTTTATATGAATTTAAATTTTATATCTTACACATTGACCGATATTTTCGGCAAAAAGTCAACTATAGGCGCAGGGGTACACATATTTAGTACCTAGGGGCTTCAACAGTTTTATTTCGATTTATACGATTTTTGGTCACAAGGTGGCATACTTTTAAGGCATTATTCGGCCAAAGGTTTACCCCGATACAATCATTGTTGCTTGATTTGCATAGTGGAAAGTGAAAGAATCAGATGGAATTTAAAATGGTATTATATGGGAAATAGGCATGGTTGTAATCCGATTTCGACATGTTGTGTACCGAAGTTGGTTGAAATCGGTTAAGCAGATCCCAAGATATGGGTTTTCATCGAAAAGTGGGTGGTGGCACGCCCACTGTCTAATTTTGAACGCGGTTCCTATAGAGTCATCTCACACCATCCCAGAGATGAAATTTAATGTCACTGGCGTGTTTAGTGCTTG